CTGAGCAAGACAGGATTTTTTTACCTTTTGTTTTTTACCTTCTGAGACTGTTTTCTTTTGCTCTCTGCATAAGCAAGTAAATTAATAAAATTTCCGTGCAGCAAAGAATGTAAATGTGTAGAAGTGTATCAAAATAAAGAGAAAACAAAAAATGTAGTATTATAAGATACCAGTCAGTGACTTTGATTTGACAGTGATTAGGAATTTGGGAATTGGTCTTTTCTGTTATATTTTAAAGTAGAAAACCAAGATGCAGCACTGCACCTGAATATTTATTGTAAATGGTTTGTGCAACATCTGCCTCACCAACTGCTTTGTGCCTTATGGCTGTGATAGTCATGAGACACTGCATACCAAAATTTAATATCAGCAGACAGAAACATCACTCTAGTTTGCTGGATCTGTATTTGTGCATACAACAATAGATGGAAAATCATTTTTGGAATCTGCTCAGATACATCTCTTCTGTTCATTCAAGTTAACAGAAATATACAAAGTTTCTCTCTGTCCTTATTCTAAATGTTATAGAGGACAATTTCAAGAGCAATACACAATGATTTCTTTTCCTGTGGTGAAAGTTTTAGATTAAGTGCCTTTTGATATTGACAAGTCAGGAAGCAAACCAGTGCTAAGTGTCTTGGGGGAACTTTTACTGTGTAAGAACTCCAAAGAATTGGTTGGTAAATATTTTTGAAAGTAAATACTGTATGAGTTTTTCTTTGGTTTCAGTACATGAGTGCCTGGTAGCAGAAAGTTAACAGTTCTATCAGTAAGATTGAAAAGAATTTTTAATTACTAGGGAAATTATGAAAATAATTAATTCCAGAAAGAATTGGATTATAGCCATTTAGTAGATTTGACCTGAGTCAAATATGTCAGAGTTTTCAGCAAACCAAAACATTTTGACAGCCAGTATAGATCAATTTAAATAAAATCATATGTTTTCCATCTTTTAATCTTTTAACTTGAAGTAATTTTGAAGTGAAAGCTTTTTAAATGGAAGAAAACCAGGAATGCGTCATTTTGAATAGAACGGAAGGAAAGAATTAATTTTCTTATTTGCAATTTAAATTTGTATTTCAGGAAATATGAATCCTGTATGGCTGGTTTGAGTGGTTACAATTTGCATTTTTCCCTCAGAAATTGTTGACCAAACTATTTTTGAGATAGGTGCAATCTTGACTTGCCTAGTTTATACAAAAATTGCATGATACAATTCCTGAACCAAAAACATTGTCTCTTCAGGACCTCCTTTCAGAGTATAATCAAGAGCAGAAATCTCCAGGGCAGTTTTATTATTTACATGCGCAATAGCTTTTGTTCCTGTTGATATAAAAATTTACTTTTGGAAGCTGATGACCAAAACTGAGTTCAGAGCTTGCATTTCTTTGATGGTCCTCAAAACTCTGAGAACGGGATTCAGTTCAAAGGTTAGGGCACTTAAATGTAGGTATCTACTTGTGCACATTTTTGTATGGGCAAAATGCCCAGCTCCCATTCTGTTCAGTAGAGGTTTAGGGCTTGATCAGGCAGCTATCCCACAGCCAGATTCCTGGAGCTTTTCAGTTTCTGAAGGCTCCATGAGGTCGACAGACTCAACACCTGACTTTTGGGATGTAAGTCTGCATGAAGGGAGCCCAGAGATGCATGGGTTACTGCAGGGTATTTCAATGTCTCTGCTTCCTGTGTGGGGACAAATGAGTCAAACCCCTTGTGAGTGCCATCATGTCAATTTAGAGATTTTTTTGGTTTACCCTAAAGTAACACCACATACTTTGGCAGCTGCTGGTGTTCAGCTGCCTGCATGTGCTGGCCAGATCTCCGCTGTCTGTATGAATTTTGAAACTTAATTCATGTTTCATAACCTGTGAACTGACTCTTATTTTGGGTGTCTGTCACTCTCAAAACAGGACTTTAAATATTTTTTTAATCTTATTTTCCTGTAGTCTTTGGCAGCACAAACTTAATATTTTTCAGACTACAGCATAGTTTCAATGGGACATCCATTATTTCCCTTTCTCGTATTCTTACCACATACTCATTACAAAAATCACTATTACACTGAAATTAGGAACTAGAAATAAAGTCTCTTAGGTTATGAAAAAACCTTGCCTCAAAAATATTAGAATTATTCCCCAGATAAGCATAAGAAGCAGTAAAATCTTGTATTTCTTTAGCTACCTCTTGTTATCCAGCATATTTTTGACAATACATAAATTATAATAGTGGCTACATGTGTATCTTATTTGCCAGGCTCCAGATACATTATACTCTGTATGGCTCAGTGGGAGTCCTCTGCACAAGGTTCAAGGCTGATTGATGGTACACTTTGATGTACTGATCTTTAGCAATAGCTGTAGTAGTGGAACACCTTAATAAATGCTGTTCAAGGCCAGTTTCAAGGCTGGACATTATCACCTAATTACTTTGATCAGAGTGGTGGCAAATATTTGCATAGTACATGCATGTGGATTCAGCCTGTTTTATTTTATTTACAGAGTAACTTTTTGGAATAGGGTCTGTCTGAGGTCTACTCTGGAAATTGAGATTCATGGTTTCCACTGAACCATGCTCTTGCAGACCTCTTCTCCTCATCTTCTGACTCCATCCTATTGTAGCTCCTCAGAGCCACCCTGTCATGCCCTCCCTTAACCTTTTGTTCCTCCCTAAATATTGTTGTTACCTAATGCAAGCTTATTTCTGTGCTGTTCATGTTCTGTTCCTTTCTTGCTTCACAGCTTGATGAACGCACATTAAAAAAATCACATTGTGGAGCACTGCTTTGAAGTGCTGTTCTGGCTCCCCATTAACTGAGTTTATATCTGCTTCACTCAAGTGATGCTGCTTCACAATGTCTTCAGTTGGGCTCAAGACTCAAAGTCAGTACCCCATCCTCACTCCCCCTTGGTCACCCATCAGCAATCTCTGTCACTGTCTGTGTCCTTCTTCCATAGCCATTCTCCTAACAAACATTCAGCCAAGTGTTTCCTCCTTGGGCTGCAGTAATTTTCCAGTGCTGTCCTCCTCTCCTGCTACTTCTTTTTGCCACAAAGAGCGTTTATCCATGCTGTCATCCCTCCTCCATTCCTACCTTATCCTGAATTCTTTATAGCACCAAATATAAACTTTTTTTGCTTCCAAGGAGCTTTATACCTTAATCCTTATGTCTCTGTCATCTGGTATTAACTGCCCAATTCTAGCGTTTTAGAATCTGACCAGATCAAGATGCTTTGGTGTCAGTGATATACTCGACCTTAACTGGCCTCTTGGTCTCTTCAGACCACCAGCTGTCATTTGGAAATTCTGCCTCATTCATTCCTTGCCCTCATCTAGATGGGTGGTTTCACCTTGTCTTTTCCTTAGATTGTGACATCCCTGGGAGAAGCGTGGTGGTTTGGTTCTGTGTTTGTACAATTCTTATACCAAGTCCTTATCTGGGTGTAAATTATCTTAGTAATAAAAAATGATTGTAAAAATATTCTTAGCAGCGAAGGCTGAGGAATGAGCAAGGAATTTTTGGTATAATTTAGCTTTAGAAATCATTAATGGGGCAAGATGGTGCTGGCCTTCATCTCTCACCTCTGCTCTGCCTGTGCCACAAACATCAGCAGGGAGCTGGAGTCCTCTGAATTGCAGCCAGGCAACTCTCTTGGGGCACTGCAGTGCCTTCCCTAGGAACATCATCTGCAGACACCTCTGCAGTGTGGTGTTTGTCTTATATCTGCATCCAGCACCCCTATACTCTGGCTATGGTTTCTGCAAATTCACAGGATTATTAAACCAACAGATTTTTAGGGACAGTCCTCTGACTGTAATCTCTTTGCAGACACAGGAGAATTTCTTCTAAGTGCAGACATAGAACTTCAATGGACAACAGTTGTTTTGGTCTGTTTAGCCAAATTTGCTGTGTCTAAATAACACGTGTAAGAAGCTAATGTACCAAGAGTATGAGGCACAGTGAACACAACTCATGTGATTGCATCATTAATGGCTCTCCCTGTTGTTTTTAACATCAGCTTTTCATTCTTATAAGGACATTATTCCTTGTTCCAAGAAGAAATAAAATAGCCATGAAATTCTCCTTTCAATAGGGAGGATGTATTTTTAGGGAGTGTTCCCTTAACTATTTACCTTTCCAAGGTTTTGCTTACTTGGGCAGAGCAGTCAAGCTGAAATGTTGCATAAAGCAGAGAAGTCTTTCCCTCAGCCTGAGGAGTGATTATCATTAAAGAAGAGCAGAGCTGAGGTCACTGCAGGTCATCAAGGCCCAGTTCCCCTCTCTCCTGGTGATTCAACCCTTGGGCCAATGTTCCTCACCCTGTGCCTCAAACCAGACATGGAAGTTCTCGGCAAGGGAGGAACAGAGCTTTTTTTCACAGGCACAAAGTGTTTGTATCTGCCTCAAATTCCCTTGCAGGATCTGGCTTACCTTTAGAGTCCAGGTGTCCACATGGAACACGGGCTGAGATGAGATGGGGTCTGGTGCTGTTCTTTCCAAACCCAGTGAGAGGCGAGTCTGGCCTTGGAGCAGCTGGCAGAGCCACAGGCACATCCTGGGGACAGCAGGGACTGGCTCTGTGCTCCTGCCTGCCAGCACTCTGCACAGGGTGCTTACTGCAGCTAACACAGACAGGGAGGCCTCCCAAAGCCCTCCAGAGCCCAACACAAAACCAGCTGGTTTTTTGAAAGCTGCTGAGCACCTCTGAGAGCAAGTCTGTTCCTTAGGAACCTTGCACAAGCATCCCAAGGAAGCTCTGCTTGTTCTTGCCCTGGGTAAAGGGGAGCTCATTCCATACCTAGAGTGAAGTGACTTCTAGCTTGACTACTTTCAGCCTATGGCATTTAATATTCATCCTCTGGTTGTTTTTATGTCTCAAGTCTGCAGTTACTGGGGGCCTTTTCCAATCCTTTTCTCTGTTACACAAATGTTACTGAGAACTAATTACATGGCCAGTCACACTAAAGAGTTCTCAAAACAACAGAGATCCAGCCAGCCAAGGTGTGTTAATCTTTCAAAATTTCTGTGGGATCCTGCTATCTGATGAGACAAATTTTAGTAATTACTGTTATCTTTAAAAAGATAATTGGAACCCACAGGAATTTATTTATAGGTGATTTAAGTATAACAAACTTTTCATTTTAAAAATCTGTGGCTCTTTTTTGTGAATTGTTCTGAAGTGACCTCTCTCTCCCTTCATGACTCACAGGTCACTGAAGATCATTTGATTTGAAATGTGTACCCCACCGAGTTGTCTGTCTTGGCAGAAAACAAATTAAAGTAAACAAGAGTTAGCAAGGTGGGTATTTACACTGATAGCACTCCTGTTAATAGTATGTAACCTTTTTATTATTTAATACTAAGGTTATTAGGAGGCAATCACTGCTTTTCCCACCAAAACCCCTGTATGCAGCAAAACATAATTATGATCAAGCCTCATCTGCATGTTCTTTAACTGTATGGAGCTGGTGGTGTAAATGAGAGGAGATAATAGAACCATAGAATCATAGAATAATTTGGGTGGGAAGGTCATGTAGTCTAATTCCCTACAATGAGCAGGAGCATCAGAAGATCATGGTCCAACCTTCAGCCTGTTGACTTTCAGATAGAACAATCTGTGCAGGTCATAAATGGCAAATACCTATTTATGTGCCACATCTCTCTGTTTAGACCAAGACCATGAACAAATTGAAGCATGCTATCATCAGCTAAGCAATAGTTATCTCTAAAATGTATTTCATGCTTTCAGAAAAATTATCCCATGATTTTTCCTCTTTTTGCTTCCTCTTTTATTTCATCAGAAACTTGCATAAAATGTCTCATAATAGAGATACCAGTTTATCCTGATATTCTTACAGTAAGATAAAAAAAAATTGAAGAAGGGTTAAAAAATCTATGCTCAAAACCACTGTTGACATGTTGAGGAGTGGCTGCCTGAACTCAGCTCTGTTACAACAGCTGTGGCCAGCATGGTTTCAGAACTGTAAAACTGTCCTGTTTTCTGACATGGTGTCATGTTTCATTAGTAGGGTCACCATGTCACTTCCAAGAGCTCCATGATCAGTAAAGATTTCTTTTAGCCTGAAAAAACTCTAGAACATTTTCACTGCCTAGGTTCAATCTGCTCACCCAAAATGCTCACCCTCCTTCTGCTGGTTTATGAGCCACGTAGTCTCACTCAGCCAGCCTTGCTCCTAATCCCCAAATCACTGTTCAGAGGCATCTGACCAGCCCAATGTCCAGCTCATCTGGGTCCAAAAAAATCTGAGCATTTAATTTCCCTGACGTGCCCAATTTATGTTACACTTCTGTGTTCCTCAAGAGTTATCCCTCACTCTTACTCATCCTACACAGGACAACCACAAGCATTGAGCTGTCCCTGGGGGTGTGGGAGAGACTGAACTCACCAACTTCCTCAGGGACTGCAATCCCAAACTGAAATTTAATCTTGTCTCAACTAAGAGAGCACTTTGGCTCTAAGGGCACTGTCAGAAAGTCATGCAAATCATCCTGTTGAGCCTGTTACTTTCTTTTTTTTTTTTTTTTGAGAAAACACGCTACAAATTCCCTGAGAAAAATGCCTGAACTATCCTAGGGTGCCCACCTGGAGGCTGAGGTTGTGGCTCCTCTTCTGCCCCTACCTCTGCATGCATTTTAAATAGTAAGTATATAATGTGAAACACTCACACAGCCCACAGCAGAGGCTGCCTGCTTGTTACCAGCCTGGATCTGTCCAATATATTTCTAATTGCTCCTATGGTTTTAGTATTATTTTTCTTTGTTTTCCTGTCTTAATACAAGTCCTGCTTTTAGGAGAGGCAGCAGAAAGAATTGCCCTGGTATAACCTTGTGGTGTTTGTGACCCTGGCAAGGCAGATGAGTATTGATTGCTGAAGTATTTGATTACATTAGCTGAGGCATAGTGCCACAGACCTTGTACTTTCTTTTCTCCCCTCACTTGCATCTGTGCAACCCCCTTAATAGGGGTTTAACTGAGGTTAGAAAATTAGCAGCTACAGCAGTAAACAAAAATACTTGTATATGTAGCCCAACATATATTAAGAAAAAAAAAAAAAGGAAATCCATATCCAAGCTATTCAAACAGTTCCTCTGTGTGTCTTTTGTCACAAAGTGGAAGCATACTTAGGGGCTTATACTGGGTCTTTTCATCTGCATAACACAAGGTCAATATGAAAAAGAAGAGTCCCCTGCAGACATGTTTTATCATCCTCAGGCTACAGGAGTCCTGAGCTGAGCAGAAAGGGCTGGTTGCCTCTGTTCTATACACTCCATATCAATCTACAGGTTATGTGCTCCAGCCATCCATGGAGAGCTGCTATCCCAGCAAGAGAGGACTGGCCCAGGCTGAGTGGGGAGGACCATGGTGCCACAGGAGTTTGGGCAGGAGCTCCTGAGCTACCCTTGCAGGGCCCTGTCTGGAGACAATGTTGGTTTCCACCAGCTTGTGGTGATTCTGCACTTTAGTCAGTATTTTCTCCACAGTGTTCAGAACTGGACTTTAATCTGTGGGGTGATCCTCGGATATTTTTACCTTCCCCTGAGTTCTTTATTGTAAGTATTCCTTGGTGTGTGAACCAGCTCAGGCAGCACACAGGAACAAACACAACAGCATGGAAGAAATGGAGAGAAAATTTGGTTTTGTTGAAACCAAACCACAAGTTTTCTAGCTTTTACCCTTCTGATTCTCTCCCTGACCCTACTGCTGAGGGAGTGAGTGACTGGCTGTTTTGTGCTTGGTTGTTGTCTGGGTTTAAATCGTGATGCCAGTGGGGGGATTCCCAAAGCAGCACACAGGCAGAGGCACACAGGCAGGGATGCAGGCACCATGGAGCTCTCTGAGTGCTAGGGGATCACCAAACCTTCTCTTTTTCCTTCTATATCAGGGATTCATGCAGGTGTAGTTTACTACAGTTTGATTGTTCCCACATCAGGACAGGAATCTTACCCATGCTCAACAGGATACCTCTAAATCTATCTCAGGACCGTGTTGTCTGAACACAGGTGTTGTCCAGCACATGAGGCTAAACAGTAACTGCTATGATGTACGTGGCTTTTGACACCTCAGCTTGCAAGCCGTTTGACCATGTTCACCAGTCTTCCTCACCAATCTTCCATTATTCTCCCACTCTTGGGAAGCTGAAAGCCAGATCACCTTGAGGAGTCACTGAATACTTCAATCTCTCATTGACCAAAGGAACTCACAAGAACCCCTTAAACCACAGCCAGAAAAGTCTCAAGCAGTTGGTTTGAAGCAGAAAATGGGATGTAAAAGAGGCATAATTTTTGAAGCAACCTAGAATTAGTTTAGCAGTTGTCTTATCTCTTTTCTGTTGTTGTTTTCCATGTTGAATTCCTTTTCTTCAAGGAAGTGTATTTTTCTTGAAATATTACATAGCCACGCTGCCCTCAAAAACTGCTGTTTCAAGCAGGATTTATTTAAGAAAGAAGGAGCAGATATTCTAATGATAAAAACAAGTACCAGGGTGCATGTCAGGCTTGCATTCACTCTCCAAATTAGCTTACATTGAATATGTTATAATTTATATGAATCATACAAAATATAATTGGCAGAAGTGTGGAAACAAGCTGTACTGGATACTACCCTTCCCAAGGGAACCAAAGTAATAATTCAATCCTCCTTGCATTATACATAATTGTTTAATATTATACATGGTGCAAGAAATCAATGTTCTCTGTTCTCCTTTGAAAATGCAAAAAGAGTAAATAAAATTACAAAGACAACACACAGATAATAAATGTGTGTTGCACAAAAAATAAAGTGTTATGCACATGCTGCATAATCTTTTTATTAACCTTTGAATATTTAGCACGGTGGATGTGAGAGGAAAAAAGAATAGATAATTCAAAGTAATTCTAGAACTCAATAAAAAATTCCTTATTTAGGAACAGTTCTATCAGCTAGGCTGGATATTTTGCCAGAATGTGAAAATATCAAATAGTCCTGCATCTCATCTTCTCTCACGAGGCTTACTTTTGAGTTAAGGACAAAAGGTCAGACCAAAAGTTCTTGGAAAAAAGCAGGATAAAAACAATGTTTAAGTCCATATGTTCTTTTCATCGGCAAATTATAAGAAAGCTCTCTCTTTCAGACCAAAGAAATTTCATTAAAAAATGGACTTTTGTGACAGACATACATACGTACATCCGCCATTTGTAGCAGAAAAGGACGGTGATATTAGAGAGAACTAAATTATATTAACCCTGAAACAATGGTTCTTATGGGCATGCCATCACTAAAAATAAAATGTGTAGGCACACTACTACCCATGGTAACTTTAATAGAATTAGACTAGGAAAAAAGACTTAAGGAGGCTCATGGAATATGGAGTTTAGGCAATGAGGTTAAATGAAGCCAGAACCACTGGTGAATATGTGTTAGATATTTATTTATCTCCATATTGGTATTTGAGCTGGCTAGTTTAAAACTGGTGTGGGTGGCTTTGGATGAGTGCATAAACCTTTGATAATTCTAAGATGTTAAAACAACAAACAGTCTAGAGATGCAATTGGTTTAGCCAATATAATTTATTTTAACACAGTTAGTACTTTCTAAAAATAAGTATCTTACAAAGAATATAATACAAGTTTTGAGGTTTCACTTGAACGTGAATATTTCTGTAGGTTTTTTTCAAGTCTTCTTCCAGTTTTTCATAAAACCATAAATGTAATTCCCCAGGAAACTCTCTCCTCCCCACTGTGAATCTGCCTTTATACAACAAAAACTTTATTTCACCTGTGAGAAGGCCCAGCCCCCCACCCAAGATTTCAATTATAGAAAAGATTATATTTTAACTGCAGTACAGTTTTGAAATTATTATGAATTAGCTCATGAAATTCTACCCGTGGGAAAGTATTTGCTGACAGAAAAAAACCCGGCTGCTGGATACACACAATGGAAAATCTTAACTTGCCTTTCAAAATGGTTGGTAAAAAGGGGAATATTTGCATCAAAAGAGAGCACTAAACCCACTGAATGCCGGTACCACGCTGGTGCATTTCATTAAAATGGTGAAGTAGCATCTTTACATATATTTTCCCCCAAGACTTGAAGCATTTAATTTGCATATATACATAAAATGTATATAAAGCATATGTTATACAGTGCATTTAGTACTGTTAGTATATACAGTGTATTTATGTACTACTAGTACATAGTGTATATGCATAATACAAAACATGTACTCATAAGCATTTCAGCCTGTACCTGAAATCAACGTCATTGGATGGCTGCAAAATACCCAGTCCTGCACGGGACTGGTCTAGAGAGGGACACTTCACATTACTGTCCACAAGCTCTATCTCAAAATATGAAAAAATCAGAGCCAAAAACTGTTTAATCTCGTGGACAGCAAAGAGCCTTCCTGGGCACTTGGCTATGCCTGTCCCAAAGGGCATGTAGTAATGCTTCAGCCTCCGGCCGTGCCGGTAGAAGTCGGTCTTCTCCTCTCCCTTCTCATTCAGGAAGCGATCGTATTTGAATGTCTGCAATTAAACACACAAAAGGGTTCCTTGGTATTTGGATACCTCCAAAAGCCAGATAAAGCTGCTAAGCCAGGCTGGGAAAAGGATGTCTCCACCAATCAGCATTGCAGAGTACCACCATTCCCCATGGGGTTCTTTACGAAAGAGTAGCCACTGAGAAGTTCTGTTATGCGGGACAGGATCCCAGGTTCTTTGCTGATAACTTCCCTTTTCTTTCCTGACCTCTAAAAATAAGGATTGTAATCTGCATTCTTATTCATGCAGCAGAAGGAGAACTGGAAGAATTCTAATTCTGTGCCTTAGGGAAATTATTATCTTTATCCTTCTTCAAAGACCCTCATAATGATGATCTTCCCTCACTCAGGGAGGCAGTAACTAGAGGGCTGTCTGGGGCTGGTAGAAACACCTTTTGGTTGCACTAAAACCTGTTTTGCAGATAGTGCTTTCACTGCCTTTGTTTTTTCTTGTTATCACATCTTCAGGTGTAAGAATGGATTGTCTGGGGTACAACAGAGAACCAGCCATGGGGCACCTAAATAAGTGCTTTATCCAAAGGCCTGTTAACTTCTGCCGGAGCACCAAGTTTAATGCAGTTTGCAAAAAAAATGCTTACCAAGGGATCAGCATAGATTTCTGGATCGAAATGCAGCAGCTGAGGATAAAGAGCTACAATGTCATCTTTGCGAATGTTGTAAAAGTCGTTCTCCAAGTGCAAAGTGAAATCCTCCTTGGCCACTCGGAAAGTCATGGATGCACTGGAGAGCCTCATTGCCTCCTTGATGATGCTGTCTGTTGGGAGAGGACAAGGGATGATTGCCATGGAAACAGTGAAACTGGGGGCAGGTCATGGATTTTGAACTATTTCAGAGCCATTATCCAACCCTGGATTTATTAGAAGAAATATTTTAATATTAACTTTCTAAATGCCTAAAAAAGTATCTTTCTAATTTCTTTTTAGCATTTCTATCCCTTCTGCAGATACCACTGAGAGCCTAATCTGCTTTCCCCACAAAGAATGCTTAGAGTGGACGAAACAGAATGTTCAAAAGTGAGACATATTTTCACTCTGATATAAAGACCAAACCAGTGAAAACTGAAAATATAACAAAGAAACAGTGCAGTGAGCAGTATTTTCTGAAACTTTAAGAGGTCCTGTATAGAAACCCATACTCAGAAAAAAAGTAATGTGGGAAGTTTTTGTTTCAATATTAGCTGACTCTTTTTTTAAGTAAGAGTAGTTCAAAAGCAGCATTATAACAACCCTCTGTAAGTTCTGAAAAATTATAATTTAAAAAATATTGAAAGGAAATAGAAGTAATGGTATTAGAAAACATTGCTTCACATGATAAGAATAGGGATTTAAGTTTTGGCAACACCTTTTTATTTGATTTAAAGACACAATCAAACAAAATATTGTTCAGAATTATCCATGTGTCTATGTTATGTAGCAGTGTAGGATTATTGAGATATGCCACTACCCATGAAAAAATGCTGTTCATGTGAATTTTGATAGTCTCAGTACCACCTGGGATATTGGGAAGCCTAGTTGTGTTGGCTACTGCTAAGGAACATAGTTTCCTGTTCTACTATTTCTTTGTTAGTTCCATAGGAATTCTACAGCAAGCATTTATATGGTAATAAACAGAAGACCATGGAAATTATAGTGTGATTTCTGCATAAAATAGTCATACCTAGTATTGGCATATTATCCAGCTGTTTCCGGTTCAAGGAAATATGTTTGCCATCTAAGCTGATACTCTCTTCAGCACTTTCCAAAACACTTTGCACTTCTTTGGTAGCTGCTCTCATTGCTTCTGGACTCCTAAGATCAAAAGAGCAAAGGTATAACATAAATTTAAAAATTCTTTAAGAAGTGGTTTTGCTATTAACTTTCTTTCTGACCAAAATGTATCTTGTTGAGAGAGAAGTACAACCTTCTAAAATAAAAATGTTGCAGCAAAAGGCTGCAGTTCTATTTATTTCATGTCTTGGCAAAGGTATGATAACTTCAAAGGAAAAAAAAAGAAAAATAAAGGAATCCCAAGTATTTGATTTTGTCTGAAATTACAAGTGGGACAGAACTGATGTGTGTAATTCAGGTAATAAACAGTATTGGCACTAAAAAGCAATGCCAAAAATAAGGAAAAACCCAGCCAGTTGTAGATGAGGAAATAGCCCCACTGCAGGTAGAAAGGTTAGGAACAGGATTGTAGATCAATTTTATAACATCATTTATTCTGACTGCTGTGACAATATTGTGTCTAGTTGAAAAGAATCTTCCTAATACCAAGAGCCCACATAGCACCCTTCACTGTCTAGCCTTTCTTTCAGACATGGAATATATGAGCTTTGGTGAAAGATATAAACACAATAAAGGAGGTCCCAATTGTGTCTTGGGGAAGGCACAATCAGTGTGATAAAAGACCCCAAGTTCAGAAAATCTAAAGCAAATGCATTATTGGAGCAAAAAGTACTAAATAATCTCAAAAATTAGCATTGGAAGTAGGTATGATAACTAAAAGTGTTAGCTGAAGCAGATAATCCAGAAAGGCCCACTCTAAAATGGACATTTGATAGCATTATCTGAGCTGTGCACTTGTCTCACAAGTAACAAGCTCAGCATGTGCAATCTACAGTAGAGCTTCAGTGGGATTTATCAACATATAAATTATTTTCTATTAAGTATCGGTGAAAACAATAATGAAGTTAAACCTCATTTTGCCTGCTCTAGTGAGATGGTCTAAAAATGTCTCATTATATCTGTAGCCTTTAATACAATTAATGTTTTGACTGTAACTAGCACTTTTAATGTCATATCATACAGATTTACTCCAAAGCTTTCTTGACAAAGTGTAGCATTGCCCTGGAGTGCTGTTCCTTAACAACAAAAAAAAAAGTTTCTAAAGAATTGCTCTGTGCTACCACCACTTGTTCTCAGATGGGTGAAGGTCTTTTCTGTGGAAGTCCTGAACAACATAGCACTTCTATGCAAACCATAAGTTTTTTATCACTGATGAGGTATCAAGGAGTGGAATTGGCCTGTACTAATGAATTGGTTTCTGAAAGACAAATATTTTGCTTGTTTGGGAGCAAGAAGCATAGGGACTTACTTAAGAAGATAGAACAAGGTCCAAAAGGTGGCAGGAATGGTGTTTGCCTGAGAGGCCCAGAGCACTGCCACGTGGGTCTTGGCTTTCTCCATGTCATCGAAGGTTGACAGGGTGTCGTTCAGGAACATGCGCAGGGTGACAAGCTCAGAGAGGTTGTCCCTTTTCAGGAGGTTCTTGTGCAGGAGGGCCTCTCCCAGCTTCTCACGTGCACTGTGGGCACTCTTGAACAGGTGGATGGGCAGCCCTGCCACGAGGGCTGGAAAAATCTTATCAAATTCCTTGAAGTTTTCAAGGGCATTTAGGATATGAGCTCTCTCAGTTTCCTGCTTCGATGATAGGTTTTTGTCATTATTTGAGTTAAATTCTTTACCAAAAAGTGTTAAAAAGCCAGACTCAAACATCACTTGGCAACAGAAGGTATAAAGTCCTTCTGTCACCCAGGTATGAGACTGAAGCTTAGGTGCTCTTGACTGCAGCATGACATACTGGAGGTTTTCCATCATTGCTTCAATGAGGGCATCTAGGGCATTGCCTTGAAGGGTTCTAATGAAAGTCTGATGAAAATTTTCAGTGGTGTTTCCCTCCGCTGGGTCAATGCTACCATGCCCAAAAGCCTGTCACAAAATAAATTGTATGCATGATAAGTAAGGCCTGTCATTAGCTGGATGATAAAGTCTAACAGAAACACAAGCCAAAGTATAACTTCATAGCTTACTAGAGGAAAGGATAACAAATGTAACAAAATAATGTACAGTCTTAGAATAATGTGTAGTCTTAGAACATCCAAATCACTGCAAATTTCTTTTCCATTTAGGAAGAGGAAAAAAAAGACCTCAATATTTTAAACTATAAAAGTGCAGAAATGTGAAACCAATCCATAACTATCTAAAGGCATAGTTATGTTTAGAGGGATTAACTGGGTATGCCAGCAGATACTTCGCATGTTAGATATTAAAACCAGGAATACCTTGGCAGAAGTAGCAAAGTGGAACTTTTTCCAGTCCAAGTGTTTTCCCTGGCGCATCAACGCATGGTATGAAAAAGGGTCAGTGAGGAAATGAATGTATTTCCCTGCTACATGGCAAGTGAAGATGTGGCCGTGCTTCTTCTGCTTTTCTTTGAGGAATTCAAGGGGGTTGGCACCAAACTTCAAGGCACAGCCCAGGTATGGAAGGAATCCATTTTCAAGTGGTGGCTCACCTTGCCGCCTACAAAACACAAACAAAAGCTCCATTTAAAATTATGTATAAAGATGTCTTCTCCAGAACTATCAGGCATGTAAAATACTGATGGTAGGTTTTGTGTAATGTGGGAAAAAAAAAAGAAAAAAAATCTCAAATAAATAATTTATTTACAAACATTTTTCTCCCCTTTAAGAGCTAAGCTGTGTAAGAAAGAACAACTTTAACTATTAATAGACATAATAATACACATAATAAATCAGTTTGATTATGTAATATTTCTTTTCCCTAGATCAGATGTACATTTTTCACCTGTATTTTTCAGATGCATATTTTTCACCAAATGCAAAATTATTGCCATTAGCTAACACACAGTTATGACATTGTCACATTAATAAATAATCCATCACATTGATACTATCTCATACATTTTTAGACAATTTTATCCACAATTTAATTTAAACACCAAGGAAAGAAACTTTTTAGCATAGAAAGGTTGTTATTATTGGCATATCCTATTAATAGACCAGATCTTTCTAAAAATATGGGAATTTTGCTATGATTCTCAGTAAGCATAAGAGCTAGTGTTTCAGACTACATGTCATCAAGCACATGATGTAAATTAAGCAGATACTTAAAGCAAAGCATATGTTTAAATTATTTTCTTTTTTAAGTAGAAACAGCTTTCCTGCATAAGGACATTGACTGCTGAAATAACTTTCATATAATATTTCAGCTTTTTCAGTAAATGAAGTTAATTATTTTCACGTTTTTTAAAATTAAACTTTAAAAATAAAACTAGAAAATTACTATGGAAATTAAAAGATAAGAAGAGTTAAGCAAATTACTCACTCCTTATGTAAATGTGTCAGCAAGATAAATGCTTTTAAGGAATACACCTCATACATAAATATTACCTGTATTAAATTGTGTTACTAGATATAATATAAAAATGTTTGTAAGTAGGTATTAAACAATAATTACATATAAGTAGGTATTCTCTGTGATTACAATACAGGTGAAATTACAGCCCAGAACATTAGGAAATCAGGACATACATAATCATATTTTAATTACCTCCCTGATGCATAGATTTGTATCCTAGGCATCAATACACTATTTTTGCAGAGTTCATACGCAAAAATTCGATTGGAACATAAATCTCTCAAAAGACCAAACTACAGCATTGTCTATGCTGTCCTGCATGTGTCTGAATACAGTTCTCCTAGTGATGTACACAGGATATTTGACACAAA